CATGTGTTTAGTTTAGTTCTGTAAGAGTTTTACGACGCTCGCAACTGCATAAGGTCATATGAGCGAACCATTCACGTGCAGAGAGAATTTGTATCTAGCAACTCAGTCGTTCTGCTGGGAGGTTGTATCTCTCTCAACTCGGGTTGGTCCTGACAGGCAGGGTCGAAGCCGACCTTCTAAACGACCTAAACAGTGTCGGTGGGGGCGCAAAACACCTTATGTCAAAAAGACGGTCTCCAACCTGTGGTGCATCTATAATCAATATTGATAGTAACTTCTATGTCTTTCTTTGAATTTGTAGTTCCTTTTTTTAAAGACCTCAGTCACGTCTGATAGAAGTACTCAAAGAATCAAGCTACGCCACAGATCGTAAGCAAACAAATTGCTACCTCAGTTCTATCTGCATAGTTTTGAGAAATTTGACATCAAAACTTTTGAGTTCCACCACATGTCAAGCTTTTTATCATGAAATTCTGTGAATATCTTGATAACGACTACTACGAATGACGTTACGATTTTGATAGAGCAGATAGAACATTTGGCTCCCGACCTCATGGTCCTAATAACTCAAACGGCCATAAATATCAGATAGAACTTTGTAATTCTGCAGTAGCGAAATCTCTATACTTTCTGTTACGCTCCAGCCTAGCGATCGATGATGCTTGACGAGGCTGTCAGGAACCCGCACCTGAGTCCAAAGATTCCAGAGCAGATGGGTTCGTTCCGCTAAACGCTCTAACGCCAACTGTTCAACACTTTCATCAAGTGGCATTGGTTCTTAAGATCTTCTGTAACGGATCTTTAATAGCTTCGAAATTCAGACCACGAATTCCTGTTAGTTATCAGCTCCAACGAAAAGAACAAACATTGAACTAAAACCGCAATATACGAGATCTTCGCAAGGTTTTAAAAGGCACTGATTCCCTTTTGATTAGGTGCGTTTAGGACCCGGAGACAATACCGCTATTGAATTTGGGGGGCATTGATCTGTTCAATCAAATCTCGTTACGTTAGAGATGAATGGGAGATAACTCGATCATTTTACCCTGACATTACGTCGAGGGCCCGAGGTGCTTGCGGAATTCTAAAAAGGAAGACAATCATCTCGAACGTCTCTAAGAGACATCGTCTTGTAAACTAAACCAGGTCACGGCGCGAGAAAGGAGATCACTATGGCTGGACGCAAGGAGAGGTCGAGAAGAAAGGGAGAGAAACAATGGTGGGGGTAGTCAGTGGGCCAGCAGGTGGCGTCTTAAGGAGCAGGGGGGCCGGGTTGTAAGAGCATTCCGATAGTCTCCTCCGCATTTTGATGACCTGAACGCACGAACCTTTTTGTCCGGCACGCACTTCTCGTCCCTTCACGCCCAGCCCCGATACCCAAACTTTGGTGAGGTTCGTCTTAAGGATAATAGCGGTCACAAAGGTGAAGAGGGTGGAACTGATCACCAAGATGATGATCATGATGATGATGATGA